CCACCTCCTAGAAGCAACAGAAGTTGCTGTCCACCAATGAGCCTGGAGCGACTACTAAGGAGAACTGGAGTAGGATTCCTTTTCCCAGTTACTCTTAAGGTTGAATTACCTATGTTCTTTGGGGATAATCTCAGGGAATGAGTCAGAAAATGCCATAAATTATTCTTGTTTTACAAATTTTTTTGATGAAAATAGAATGAATGTGATTGGAATGTATTATGAGGGAATAACAGATAACTAGTTTCTAGTGGTCAAGATTGAAAAACCTAGCTAGTTTGTCTTGGAAGGAATTAAAGAACTATCGTGCACACATTTGTTGACAGAGGAAATTTGGAATAATTCAATAAGTCGCAATAGATTGGTAATTTAGAATAATACCAAGAGAAGTTTGAACAGTTGAAAACTTTGATGCTCCGCAGGAGTAATAAGACTTAGTGAACGACATTCTGTCTCCAGTTTCATTAGCGGGCTTAGAGAAGAAATTAGGCATGGTCAAGATGTTCAAACCTGAGATTTTAATAGTAGCATTTGACGTAGACAGATTAGACAAGGGGGTAGGCAGAATGTGGACTCCAGATTTGAATTATATAAAATCAAAATTGGCCATGGTATTGGAACTAATAGCTATAGGCTCCCTCATTATCGAGTTGAAAAAGGAGCTTCTGCTAATCAGGATTCTAGTCCTAACATCATATAGAAAATTTCACCATCCAATACCAGAGGAATAATAATTTTTGTTTCAAGTGTGCCAGCAAATTTGGAGCAGGACATCAAAGTAAAATGAAGCAGCTGTATCTGATGGCAGAATATGAAGAGGAGGAAATCGAGTTTGCAGATGTCCAAGGGAAGCAAGATGAGGTTACCAGTAATATTGGGGTTGTGGTAGACATGTCATTTCATACTTTGTCTTCAGGGCTCAAAAGAAAGACCATTACTCTACAACAGGTTATGAGAAGTGTAGTAGTGAACGTATTGGTGGACACTAGAACTTCTAATTGCTTTATCAGTCACAGCTTAGCAAAAGATTCTGATGACTAAGTTACTAGTACGTAAGCTAATTGTAGTCGGCGAGTAAGTGCATTCCACATGACATTTTGGGCTTTTATAGGAGTGTTGTGGCACATTAGGTAAATGTTGGAAACAAAATGTAAATATTGGAAGTCCAGGGAGAGGACAGATCCAATCAAAACAAAGTTTATTCACCATTTTGTTCCCCTGAGCTTTGGATTTGGAGGTACTCATACTTTACCACCTTAAACCTTAAGAGTGACTTTCTTGAGAAAATGCCGTGCACGTGGGAAGCCTTGAGAATCCTTGCAAATCCAGCTCCAAGATGTGCTAAACCAATCGTGACTAGTAGTTTACTAGCATTAGGAAACAAGAAAGAAGGAAACTTCAGTAGTTGCCTTATCTCTTTGTTTTCCTTATTTGCTGGAAAAACCAACGAGATGAGGGACTAGTCATTGTTTAGATTAGGGAGATTCTTCTATTATTCGTCTTCGTCCCGAGGCGAGGCCGCAAGACAGGAGATAATTCCTTCTTCGTGCCTTTACTCTTCTTCCGTGAAACATATTAGATTGTTTTAAGAACAAAGTTTGATATTCATGAATTCTACTAATACGCGTGGAAATTTCTCTATGAGGCGTGGCTAAGTTCCTCATCTAGTCGAAGATCAACTTGAAAACTCGGTTCAAACATCTGTGAGATCGAATTATTTTACTTATTTCTTTTATTCATTGGTATTTGTACGTTTTTTAGTTTAACTTTTTATGATTGTTTTGTTATTTGAATGTCAATGGCTCGATATTCAAATTAACTTAATAATCTACTGCCAGATTAATTGATTGAATCCGTAATTGTTTAATTGATTAATACCAGTGGCAACTAGCGTGATTGGTTCCATGTTAGAGAAACGCATGATCTAATTTAAACAAACCCTCGTAGTGTATTTGTTAGTTAGGGTTGGATTTTTCTAATTCTTAATGCAATTTAGAAATTAAATCCTACGGTCGTACTTAGGATTATTATTTGGTTAGAGAAATAGTTAACGGTCGTATCTTGACTATCGAAAAAGTAAGGAAAGGCTCTATTAATGAGTAATTGAATTATCTTTGCATCGATGATCAGTTGAATGAACTGTGTCTGAAAAGTTTCACCTTTGGCTAGAGTCGTATTGGTTATTAGTTAATTCTTGTTTATTTCTATTAGTTGTTTCATTAGTTAGTTAATTAGTTATTTTATATTCTCCAAAAATCCCCCATACTTCGGACTCTGGAAGAAACGAATTATCCCCAATCCTTGTGGATTCGATCCTACTCACCGCTATATACAAAATTTGTATTATTCTTGACTAGATAATTATTATTGCACAGGCTCAACACCTGTCAATTTTTGGCGCCGTGGCCGGGGATTGGTGCATGATAATTTGTTTCTTTTTTAGTTCATCTTATTTTTATTTCTATTTTTTCTCTTATTTCTTTTTTTTTTTAGTAGTTTATGGTTGCTGACATTTCGTATTTTGGTGATAGACTGGATTTTATTCCTACAAAAGGAAATGAAGCTTATGTTTTTTCTGATGATCAATATTCAGATTCACTAAGCTTTCTTATAGACAAAATGGCTGCTGCAACTTTTGGGATTTGTTATGCCACAGATCATTCAACCAGTATGTGCTCTGAATATCAAATTACCTGAATGTCTATCTGATAGGTTGCAATTTTATCATTTATTTTACTATTAATTTTCCATATTACCTGATCCGATGTGGATTATTGTTAAATTCTACTCACTTTTGGTATTTTGCATTTATTTCAGGGAGTAGAATAAAAATATGATAACAAGTGTCAATTTGACAGAAAAGGAATCCAAATAACAGAGCTTATTCCTGGGGCATTTTTGGAAAAGGAACACTTATTCCCATTTTGGTAATTACTGCAAAAGAAAAAGGACGGCTAGAGGGCTTCTTCTTCCTGGTGGGAGCCGCCGCACAGGAGTTGCTTAGTTAGTAATTTGATAGAATAGGAATAGATAGCAGAGAACAAGCAATATCTTTGGCTTTTGACTTTTCTTCGTTTCTTTAGTTCTTAGTAGTTTTTTATCTTCTTGGTACGTAGGACTTTTAGCTTAGCTTTTCTTTTGACTCTTCCTTGGAGTCTTGGGTGGATTTCTCCTGCGCATGTCTGGAGCAATTGGAGGATTCAATCACTTTTTGTATTCTTTTACCAATTGAACGAATTGAACTCCCTCAATCAAGGACAATGGCCGTGACTTTCTCTTCAATTTTGTATGGATTTTTTGCATCAAATATGAACTAATTTTCTCACTCTAGTAAAGGGACAACGGAGGCTCTAGTTTGTCTAAAATTTGTGAGATTGATTTAATTTTATCTTTTTCTTTTATTCATTGGTATTCACATATTCCTTAATTGCAGTATTTATAATTATTTAATTAATTGATTGTCTTGGATCCGGATAATTAGTTAATTTGGTGATCTATTGTCAATTAGGGCATTAAATCCGTAATTGTTTAATTGTCTTGAATTAGTGACAACTGGCATGATTAGGTTTGTGTCAAAGGGATACGCGGGATAATCTGAAATAACCCTGGTAGTGCATTATTTGGTTAGAATAGAGCTCCTCTAATACGTAAGGCAATTGAGGAATTAAATCTTACGGGCGTACCTAGGATTATTTCTCAATTAGAGCAGTAATTAACGAGCGTACCTTAATCACCGACGCAGTAAGGAGGGGTTGACTGTCATCACTTGTTTGACAGTTATAACCTATTTATTAATAAATAATTGAAAATATTTGTGTATCGATGATTAATTAGGTGAACCATTGCTGAGACTATTTCTTGACTAGATTTTTAATTATTATTACCTTGATTTTAGTGAATTATCATTTGATTTTTAGTTTCCTATTTTATTTTATTTTTAATTGTTTCCTTGTTTTAGACCTTTAATTATTGTTACTCTGAGTTTAGTGAATTGTCATTTAATTTCTAATTAGTTATTCATTTTTATTTTTTATTTGAATTTTTTTGATTGTCGTCGTTTATACAAAATCACCCCCTGTGTTACTTTGAATTTCTTAAGAGACAAATACCCTCAATCCCTGAGAATACGACCCTACATGCCCTGTCTACAAATTCATAATTATTTGTGAAAAAAAGCCATCCCATTCGAGTATATTGGATCAAGCAAACTTTTCGGGAATAGGGTGAATCAAGTAACCCATTGCACACTTAGAGTCCCTACTCCAGTACTTGGAATCGGGTGTTGGCTACTTTAACTGGCAATTAGGTTTATTTTTATTATTGTACAGGGTTCGACAACCTGTCAATTTTTGACGCTGTTGCCGGTGACTGGTATCAATTGTTTATTTCTTTTTAAATTCATTTTTGTTCTAATTTTTTGGTGCTTTTCGAGTGTATGCCTCGTTCTTCTCATACAGGTGAATTAATTTTCGATCCCGAGATAGAGAAAACTGTTCATAGAACAAGAAAAGAGACTAGACAACTCAGAGAAGAGCACTCCAGTGCTACATTTCATAGACTTGAGTCAGAAGTTGAACTAACAGATTCGTTTGGTGACATTTCGAGTGACCCTGATTAAGAAGAAGTCACCATGGCTACTGCATGAACACTAAGGGAGCTGGCTGCTTCTGATTTAAATCAGCAGCCTTTGTGCATTACTTTCCCGAGTTTAAGTGATAACACTCCTTTTGAACTAAAATTTGATCTAATTCATCTTCTGCCATCTTTTCATGGTTTACCAGGTGAGGAGTCTTATAAGTATTTGCAAGAGTTTGATGTCGTGTGCAACAGTATGAAGCTCTCGGGCATTACCGAAGAGCAAATAAAAATGAGAGCATTTTCCTTTTCCTTGAAAGACTCTGCAAAAAACTGGTTGTACTACCTACCACCAGATAGTATCACCACGTGGGACTAACTGAAGAAAAAAGTTCTTAGACAAGTATTTTCCTGCGTCTCGAGTTGCAAGTCTAAGAAAAGAGATTTGTGGCATTAAGCAACACCCAGGGGAATCGCTTTATGATTACTAGGAGCGATTCAAGAAATTGTGCATCAAGTGCTCCCAACACCAAATAAGTGAGCAGTTGCTAATACAATATTTTTACGAGGGGCTACTCTTCAGAGACAGAAATATCATTGATACTGCGAGTGGAGGGGCACTAGTGAACAAGACCCTTCGAACAGCATGGGAACTAATTGAGGGAATGGCTGAGAATTCGCAACAGTTTGGTACGAGGGAGGATGTCCCGATACGCAAAGTCAATGAGATATGGACATCCTCTATCCAGCAGTAGCTGACTGAGTTGACTTCTTTTATTAGGCAACTGGATGTAGGAAATGAATCTCAGGCTAAGGTGTGCGGAATTTGCACTGGTATGGGTCACTCTACAGAGATGTGCCCAATGATTCAAGAGAAAAGTGCAGAGCAAGTGAATATGGCTGGTTCCGCGCCCGTGCCAAGAAAGCCCTATGACCCATATTTAAGTACCTACAACCCTGGTTGAAGAGACCACCCCAACCTCAGTTATGGAGGGAACAGACAGTCTAATTTCGTGCCAAATAGACAACAAGGGTACTAGTAGCAATACCAATCCCAACCACCTCCGCCACCGAATTCTAGTCCATCTTTGAAGGAGATGATGAAACAACTGATGGCTATTACCACGCAACATCAGCAAAAGATAGACTCCGAACTGCAAAACATAAGAAATCAACTGGGATAGGCAAGTAATGCAAAATCAGATGAATCAGATGGCAGTGACAATCAATCGCCTGGAATCCCAAGTTTATAAAAAAATTGCCATCTCAACCTGAATTGAACCTGAAGAATGTAAGTGTGATGACTTTAAGGAGCGAGAAGGAAATTCAGGGATTTGACCTTACTATTTGAAAGGACAAGGATGAGGAAAAGATCGAAAACGAGTTTGAGAAGGAGGCCAGTAATGGCACAGATCCAAAGGTACTCCTAAACCCACCCATTACAGTAAAAACTAACCCGCCTCTCTTTCTTAGCAGGTTAGAGAAACCGAGGAAGCAGGATAAGGAGAAGGAGATCCTTAAGGTGTTCCGCAAAGTGGAAATCAATATTCCTCTATTAGACTCCATCAAACAAGTGCCGAAATATGCAAAGCTTTTGAGGGACTTGTGCGTCAATCGAAAGAGGCTGAGGGGAGATGAAAGAGTCATCGTGGGAGAGAATGTGTTCGCAGTTTTGCAGAGGAAGCTCCCACTGAAGTATGGGGATCCAGGTAGGTTTACTGTCCCATGTAAGACAGGTAATACTTTGATTAGGAATACCCTGCTGGATTTGGGAGTATCGATCAACGTAATGCCTAAATCTATGTATGCTTCTCTGAACCTCGGTCTATTAAAAGAAACGAGATAATAATTCAATTAGCTAACTGAACAAATGCATACCCTGATGGGTTAATCGAGGATGTGCTGGTTAAAGTTAATGAATTGGTATTTTCAGCTGACTTTTATGTACTTGACATGGATGATGATCATTCCCTTGACCCCTCACCTTTGCTACTAGGTAGACCTTTTTTTAGTACAGCACATACAAAAATTGACGTTAATAAAGGTACATTGTCAATGGAATTTGATGGAGAACTGGTCAACTTTAATATTTTTTATACAATGGAACATCCTGTTAACTCTCACTCTGTATTTGCTATTCATGCTATTAATCCCTCTGTACAAGAATATTCTGAGTTTGCTTGTAGGGATAAATTCAAATTTACTGAGAACAAGTATAAGGGGATGAAAGCAACGTATGAGGTGAAAAGGAATAGGAAATTAAGAAAGAAGGTTGCACTCAAAAGTTATTTGGATCCTAGAGGAAGGCCACCGATTACAAGAAAATTTGAGTTACACCCAAATTGAAAATTGGTGTTTAATGTCTAGCCAAAAATATTAAAAAAAAGCGCTCATTAGAAGGCAACCCAATTTTTTTTAGTCATTTGTTCAGTTTTTTTTGATAGTTTGAATATGTTTTCCTTGTTTTTGACTGATTTTGGATTTCAATTTTCGTTGTTGATGATTCGTAGGTGTCTCTTTGATTTGACGCGCCCGCGTCAAGTTGTTTGGAGAGCTCATGGTCAGAAGGATTCTTGCCTTTTTAACACGCCCGCATCAAGTCGTATGGAGAGCTCATGGTCAGAAGGATTTCTGTCCTCTTGACGTGCCCACGTCACGTTCGCGGCAAAAGTAAGTATTCAAAATTCGAAAACAGATTTCGATTTCCTGTTACTCTCTAATTTTGAATTTCGACAATAAGTTTTGTTCATAATAATAATATTAAAAAAAAACTAAAAAATTTTTAAAAAGAAGATTTTTTTAAAAAAATTTTTTAATTACACAAAAAAAATGGGTCTTTCCGTTTAGCTATAACTTCTGATTTCCAAAATTAGAATTTAGAAAAATCTAAAAATGAAAAAAAATGAAAAAAGAAAGAAAAAAACAAAAAAAAATTATTTTGTTTTTCTTTTTCTCTTTTTTTCTTTCTTTTCTTTTTTTTCTTTGTTTTTTCTTTCTTTCTTTCTTCTTCTTTCTTCTTCCCTGTTTCTTCTTCTCTTTCGACCGAGCACCCCTCACGCCCGCCACTATCTCGCTCACCATTCACGTCGCATCGCCACCACTTTCAGTCGCTCCATCATCGTGCTTCGGAAAGCACTTGAATTTGGCAGCTCTCATGCATCATACGGGTCTTACGCCTCACTTTGGTTATCACCCACCATTTTGACCCGATTTTAGGGAAGTTTTGTTGTCCTTTCTCCTACTTTTGATATTTATTTGCTACATTGAGGGCAACGTATCGTTTAGGTGTGAGGGGAGATCAGTTGTGGTTCTAGTTTTTAGTAGTTTTTTAGTTTTTAGATATTTTTCCTTTATTTCTAATTTGTTATTTGTCTATCTTTCGTTTAGTCTCTTTCTTTCTTTTTAGTGATTAGCTCTCATGTGAATGCTAAAATTTATGTTGGATTGTTGACTCTAATTGTACTATTGCCAAGTTTTAATAATAAAAGTGTATCTAGTTAATGTGGTTGAACTCGAGAACATCTATTTGGTGAATATCGGTGATTATTTGACTCTTTTAATTTTTTGTTAACTTTTCTAGGCATTAAGAATGATTGTTGGCATTTTCATGTGAATTGGTCCAGTGATTAACTTTAGTTCTCTATGTTTGGAAAAAAATAAGGCTAGCTACTTTTTCTTTGTGATATTGTGAGATATTGTATTATCTGGTTGACAAATAAAGTTGACTGTACTTCGCTATTAGTTACTACTGAGTAACCGGGGATCTTCACCTAGAAGTGTCGATTCTCGCATCAAAAAATAGTAATTTCTATGAGTACGTGGTCGTATAGCGATAGGAGTTGAGTAACCGAACTCTTTCATCTGGCAAATGTTGGAGTTCGCGTCAAAAGACTCCAATGGCTAGAGACTAAGTCTTTTGTGCTATCTTGAAAAAAAAAAGAAAAAAAAGAAAAAAAGAAAAAAATAAATAATAAAAAACGTGAAAAAAGTGTAAGTTATGTTAGTGTATGATAGAAGTCAGCTTGCCGATTTATTGATTTAATGTGGAGATTTTGGTTAATATTTGGATCATTTGCTGATAAATGTTGTGCGCCATTCCTTTTTCTTAGATTAGTTAACTTGGAATTGAAAGAGTTTATGGTTTAGAAGTTAATCGGGGTAATGTTTCTCAGATTTTGATCACTAATACTTGATATATGGCTTTCTCTTGATATCTTGGCAATATGGTAGATAGAGCAATAGTCATTAACAAATATTGGTGTTTGCTTACTATTTTTATACTTGAGAACAAGCATGATTTAAGTGTGGGGGGAATTGATAGATTGCAATTTTATCATTTATTTTACTATTAATTTCTCCTATTACCTGACCCGATGTGGATTAATTATTAAATTCTACTCACTTTTGATATTTTGCATTTATTTCAGAGAGTAGAACAAAAATATGATAACAAGTGCCAATTTGATAGAAAAGGAATCCAAATAATAGAGCTTATTCCAGGGGCATTTTTGGAAAAGGAACACTTATTCGCATTTTGATAATTACTGCAAAAGAAAAAAGACGGCTAGAGGGCTTCTTCTTCCTGGTGGGAGCCACCGCACAGGAGTTGCTTAGTTAGTAATTGAATAGAATAGGAATAGATAGCAGAGAACAAGCACTATCTTTGGCTTTTGACTTTTCTTCGTTTCTTTAGTTCTTAGTAGTTTTTTATCTTCTTGGTACGTAGGACTTTTAGTTTAGCTTTTCTTTTGACTCTTCTTTTGAGTCTTGGGCGGATTTCTCCTGCGCATGTCAGGAGCAATTGGAGGATTCAATCACTTTCTGTATTCGTTTACCAATTGAATGAATTAAACTCCCTTGATCAAGGACAATGGCCGCGACTTTCTCTTCAATTTTGTATCTCACTCTAGTCAAGGGATAACGGAGGCTCTAGTTCGCCTAAAAATTATGAGATCGATTTAATTTTATCTTTTTCTTTTATTTATTGGTATTCACATATTCCTTGATTGCAGTACTTATGATTATTTAATTAATTGATTGTCTTGGATCCGGATAATTAGTTAATTTGGCAATCTATTGTCAATTAGGGCATTAAATCCGTAATTGTTTAATTGCCTTGAATTAGTGACAGTTGACATGATTAGGTTTGTGTCAGGGGGATACGCGGACTAATTTGAAATAACCCTGGTAGTGCGTTATTTGGTTAGAATAGGGATTCTCTAATACGTAAGGCAATTGGGGAGTTAAATCTTATGGGCGTTCTCAGGATTATTTCTCAATTAGAACAGTGATTAACGAGCGTACCATAATCACCGACGCAGTAAGGAGGGGTTGACTGTCATCACTTGTTTGACAGTTATAACCAATTTATTAATAAATAATTGGAAATGCTTGTGCATCGATGATCAATTAGATGAACCATTGCTAAAGTTATTTCTTGGCTAAATCTTTAATTATTATTATCTTGATTTTAGTGAATTGTCATTTGATTTTTAGTTGCCTATTTTATTTTATTTTATTTTTAATTGTTTCCTT